GAGAGAGAGAGAGAGAGAGAGAGAGAGAGAGAGAGAAGCCATACCCGTCAACTGGTTGAGATCAGTTCTGAGTGTGGGTGTGTGCGGCAGAGCCGCTGGAAACATAAACATTTCTGTAATGACCCGCCATAACACAGACTGAGAACACTGCTGATTTCTGGAGTTCTGCCGATGGAATGGATGCCTTGCTGAGATTCCCGCATCCTGCTGAGTTTTCTAAGTCTGTGTGTGTGCGTGCTTGTGACCTGCGTGCCTGTCTGAGTGCTTGTCGGTATGAGTGAGTGTGTGACCCGCAAGGGTACTTGCTTGTTTGGCAGGCCCGTAGGGCCGGTACTTACCTGTGGCCGTGGCATTGAGGGTTGCAGCAGGGAAAACACTCAAGTAGCGGAGCCAGGGGCCCGCGGTGCTTAGAGCAGCGGAAAAAAAACACTCAAGTAGCAGGTAGGCCGGTACTGCACCCAGTAGCAGTAGATGTGCCGGGTACTCGAGGCCGAGCAGAAGAAGACAAAGTTGGCATTTTTAGAGGCCCAGTAGCGGTAGGCTAGGTCTAGGCCGGTACCAGTCCGTCCAGTCCGAGTCTAGAGCCTGTACGGGCAATATCAGAGTCTGCAATGATCTCTCCCTCCTCCCTCCCCCAGGAGGCGAGTAGGGAGGAGGTACGAGTTGCTTGGGAGGCCGAGCGGCCTGGAAGTCACCGCCCAGGAGGCAAGTAGGCCGCTATATCAAGAGGCCGAGGGAAGAGCCCGGCCTCATTCTTCAGTGTGCAAGTTTGGTGACACGCTGCTGGAGCGCTGGCTGGAGTAGCGCTGGGTACTACAGCGCTGCTGGGAGGAAGAAGCCGGGAGCTTCCACCTTGGCTATGGTGGAGCTCTACCGGTAGGAGAAGGGGGACCAAGGAGGAGAGTGGCGAGGTACTTACCTGGCTTTGGTGGACACCGTCTTCATCACCTTGTTAGGCACTGCATCTGGAAGGCCCCAGTTGGGGTAGTGCTGCATCAAGAAAGCTCGGGACAGAGTCAGGCATGGCGGTTGAGTGGGCAGCGGCATAGCTGCCTGGTGTTGACCTTGGGACAGAAGGGCGGCGACATAGCTGCTTTGGGTTGTCCTTTGGACAGGAGGGTAGAGTCCTCAGTGATCCGCCATAGCCTCGGCCTGCATGTAGAGGAATAAGAAGGGTGGCCATGGCTATTGTGGACCTCATGTTGTGCCTGCAGTAGAAGTGGGATTCGGACATTGATTCTGGTTCAGCCATTCAACATTATTATTGTTATTTCTTGTTTGAATAAGAGGGGAGGAGAAAAGGAGGAGGAGATCGGTTGACGAAGAAGAAGAGCCTTGTCATTGGCCTGTGCTGGAGTACATCATCTTCTTCTTCTTTCTTACTTCTTCTTTCTTACTTCTTTCTTACTTCTTCTTTCTTACTTCTTCTTTCTTACTTCTTCTTCTTCTCCTTTCCCTCTTTCTCCTCTCAAGTTCATTCATTTCTTTTTGCATTTGGACGGCATTGTTACTTCTTCTTTCGCCGCATGTGTTGACTGTATCTCTGCTCGGCTTCTCACGTGTGAACTCTCGTGTGAATGTTAATTGATGTATGCGAGGTGACATTTGGGGAGAACTTGGTTCATTTCACTTAAATATATTTTGACGTCTTATCGAGTTTGTTTGTAACATGTGCAGTTCGCGTCTGATGTGGCGAAATTCATAAGCGGCTGCATGGCATCATTGTCTGCTATGGTTCAGCTGGAGTTACCTCATGTGAATATACTCAGCAAGATGGATCTTTGTCCGAACAAGAAAGACATAGAGAGGTACGGTTTGAAAAAGAAGAAGAAGAAGAAGGAAAGAAAGAAGAAGAAAGAGGAAGAAGAAGTGAAATGTTAATGAAGTATGTATTTTGGGTATTTTGCCTTTCTGGCTGCTTCTGCGGATCTCATCATATTGCAACAATTTAGGGGAAATGATTAGATTAAAAACAAAATCAGATAGTGATGGTTTTATTTTGTAGATTTTTAATTCATTTTATTGACTTTCTTTTACTTTCTTTTACTTTTTTTACTTTTTAATAACGTGCAATTTGTTAACGCACGACAGTGGACGTTAGTTAACCGCACACTTCATGTATTAGCTCGTTAATGCACACTTCATGCGTATTGCAAATGAGGTGCGATTTGTTTTCCCCCATCTGTGTTCACACAACTTTGGAAAATGCTTAGGATTGTTTTCCAACTCTTCCCCTATCCACTCTTCTCTTTTCTTTTCTCTTTTCTTTTCTGAAGTTTTTTCCTTTCTTCTGCTTTTGAATTTACTTTTTTTTTTTCACCTTTCTTTTTGTGCTTCCCCTTGCAACTCGCACAATATTTCTTGGCCTTATCAAATATGCCTATAACATGTTGCAAATTTCAAATTTGTCCTTGTTTCAAGTCCTGTGGTGACCTCATGCAATCCATCCAGAGTATTTTAGATTCAGGGCATAATCACCCGACAACTTTTTGTACAGAGCTCTGGACGTGATTGCAGTCAGATTCATCCAGCCTGGGCCGTAATTGCAGTCTGATACATCCAGGTTGGGCCGTAATTGCGGTTAGATACATCCAGGTTGGGCTGTAATTGCGGTCAGATACATTTAGGAAAGTGCCAGTGTGAGCATGCCCTCAGATGCACTATACCTTCCTCAGAGGAAGGAAGGAAGCAGAGGGCCTAAAGGTCGTGCCCGTTAACAAGCCTCAATTTTAGGAAACGTACGGGCCACTACAGGAGCGCCCAAATTCATCTGACTAGAAATGTTTCTACTCGATTTTTTTCCACGGCCGATAGCTGGGCCAAGTACTGGTGGTCTAAGCCCCTGAGCCACCAGTACCTCTCCCAGCCATCTTGTTCCGACATACTTGTATAGAGCGGCAATTGGCACAATCGAGGGGGGGGGGGGGGGGTCTGCCGAAGAAAAAGGAAATTGATTGCACTGCGCCGGTTCAGTTTTTTCTGGCGCACGGCACAAATCCGGCTCACAAAAAAGACTGTCGGAGTTACTGGTGGCTTAAGTGTCATAACTTCATAACGTAGTAATGAGCAGTTGGACAAAACCTTCAATCAATACGAAATCACATTCGTTATGGGTTTCTGTTCTTTTTTTGCAGACTTTCTTTTTTCGTTGTATTTGCCGAGTGTCCTGTTTGTTATTGTCTTCGGAATTTTCTGGAATGCAGATTTTTTTTGGATCTTCTTCGACCAACGGTAGGCTGAAAAAAAAAAAATTCTGTTTTTTTTTTTTTGCATCCGGACATGTCGTCTTCATTTTTTATTATTATTATTTTTTTTAATCCATTGCGGCTGTCATTGGGATATTCTGGGATGCGGAGTTTTTCGGATTCTTGAGCATCACATTCATCTGGATTTTTTCTGGCTTTCCTTTCCTTTCACTGGTTTTGTCATTGAGATTTTCTGTGGTGCAGATTCTTGGACCCTGACGTACAAATGCTGCTGGCAGATCTGAACAGACATATGCCGCCCTCATTTATGAAGCTTAATCGCGCCATAGCGCATCTGGTACACCCAAAAATCCCATCCTTTTTTCGGAGTGTTCCCCAAGTACCCTATACATGCCCTCCTCCCCTTGTAAATTTCCACATGCCTGCCTTCCTCTACGTCGCCCACTTACCCTCCCTTGCACCCTCCTTGTTTTCCAAAAAAGTCCCAAAATGGTTCCAGTCCCACGGTACTGATCCGGCAGGCCCAGCGACCGAAGTGCCCACAATCTCCCACTTACCCTCCTTGTTACATATATGTGAAAGGATCTCACTTCACAGTGAGTGTCCCGAGCCACAGTCTCCCACTTACCCTCCCGCTGGACACGAAGTGTTATTGTTTGCCATTGATCTTCAGGGTCAGTAGCGGAACGTTCTGTAAGTTGAAGAAGGCTGTTTGTGAAAACAGCTGGAGATATCAGAAGTGAGAATGCTGACATTAGTAACAAAAAATCAGGTGAAAAACATGATCGCCGAAAGATCAAGGGTTTCTGCGTTCAGTCAATCTACGCAGAGTGAATCGGTCCCTAAGGAAACCCCGAAAGGCGTCGCTTACCTTCTGCTTCATCGAAGCCGTTCTTCGACTTTCGCGTGCTGCTTTCAGGCATGACCTATCACTAGGCATACAAAAATGCAGCCAACAGGTCTTTGGAGACCGTTACCTGCCTGGAGCCGACAAAGACCTAAACTCAGCTGCCACTTATAGAGCTGCAGTGTTCCCAAGAGATCGGTTGTCAATTTGTGTGTTGTGGAAGCTCTGCTGAATGCTTGTGTGACCATACGGGTGGACTTGTCGGGGAGATTGAGGAAGAAGCCAGCGCTTGGGTGCCATAGCTAGGGTTGCTGTCTTAACCCAAAGAAAAGGTACGTATGTTCTATTCCACTTAACCTCTGAAAAACGGGTTCTGAGAAATCGCTGATTGTTTTTCGAACAGAACGTACGGTCGGATATAATCATGGCTACGATCCGGACCACCGGACAGGGATCCGGACCGTCTGGGGTCCGGGGTCCGGGTCCGGATCTTGGTCCGCATGTGAGGGCCCCAGCCCAATGACCAAATTTTTTTTGGGTGCTCCAGGGCGTTTGTTCACGCCCTGGGCCGCCCCCAAAAAATAGTGCCTTATTTTTTACCACTCTCGCCGACGATCCAGACAGCCCGTAAAGTCCACGAGGGGGTTTGTTTTCTCCATACTTTTTCGAAGGGTCATACAACCTACTGAGTAGGACCCTACGTCAAGCAGAGGTACAACTCAACTTGTACTTCGTAAGCGTGGGGCCGTGGGCAGAGAATATATAGTCTGGATTCGAATTCAGGTCTGTGCGTCTCGGTTATGGGTCACTATTTCTCTGTTTTCTCGTTTTCTTTTCTTTTCTCGTTTTTCTTTTCCTCTCGTTTTTCTTTTCTTTTCTCGTTTTTCTTTTCTTAGGAATACGTGCAGCGGCCCTAAGGGCCTCTACTCACCAAATGCACAAAAGACAAAACATATGGTGGCGTATTATTCCACGTTCTGCAGAAGATTCAGTCTAGTTTGCACATTTCGTGAGTAGTGCAGCCAAGCCCTAAGAGTCACGTGCAGAGACCAACAGGGCCTAGCTACGAGAGCAACCCATAACTGCTGAAACACAGACCTGAACTCGAATCTTGAGTATATATTCGGCCAGCTCGTGCCCTGTTTCATATTCACTGCCTGTGCGGGAGGGACTGCGCTACATGGCTGCGACCCTTCAGATAGCTTGCATGGGCTGTCTGATCCGTGTTAAGGGGATCCGTTGCTCTCTCTCTCTCTCTCTCTCTCTCTCTCTCTCTCTCTCTCTCTCTCTCTC